TTTTTATAGATAGTATGAGCTATTGTTCCAATAAAATCTGATGAATAATCCTTTACTCACCACTAATTTAAAAAACTTATAAATGCTACTGTATATGGATTTCTATTTCTGAGTTCCGATCCTATTTCAATTGTGTGAATGATCTCTATTTTGCTCCAGTATTATGCTTTTATATTTACTGTAATTGTATAATTCTTTTTATTTTTTATTTTATTTTTTAAAATTGAGTTTATTGGTCCATTTTAGGTATATAGTACAGTTACATTCATCATTGGGATCTTGTACCTTTACATGACAGGTCTTGGTTCTCATTTTTTCCCCTTGTCCCTGCCCTCCTTCCATGTATAATTTTTTAAAATATGGGTGTGCAGGTCCTTCTGGGAAGCATTTTTATCTCTTCATACATCTTATTTATCCAGATGAGAACTGAATCAGAACAGATAAAACATAACTATGTGTCAATAGTCACTGGAATCCATAAATTAATTGAGAGAAGTAACAGCCTCAAACTCGCTCGAGGTCTCAGTGACATACACAGCTTTTGCTAAGACTGAACAGCACAAGTCAGACTAACCGACTCCAGCCCGGGCCAGGAGGGCTGGAGACTGTGCCTCTGACCACCAGGCTTTGGCATTCAGGCGGTATGAGGCCAGGATGAACTCAGACATACTCAGGGGACAGGAGACCTAAATAGACATGGCACAAAAGTCTGGGACTCTGCCTTGTTGCTATTTTTGTTCATTATTTTCAATAAGTCTTCCCAATAGATTCTTTGTAAATAGAAGACCTTTTAAGTGATCACTCTTGTGTTCATTGCTTCTCCTACCTCTCAAATCTTGGCAGTGTGGTGTGAATTATAGATGGCTCTGCCAGAGAAAAAATAACAACAAAGACTTAGCCATTTTCACAAAATCAAGACATTAATAATTTCGACCAGAAGCAATTACTGGTAGAGAGAGCACCTGGCGTGTACGAAAATGGGAGATCCACATGGCTTAGCTAAATGGATACCGACTGCTCCTTTGGGTGCTTTTACTTGGTGTCACGAGCTTTATAGATCGCCTTGCTTTTCTAAAGGTGACACAATTTAAAAAAATGAAAAATTTAGCCTCTGAAACCTTTTGAACTATTTATATAAACAGTTATGTTTTATAAAGTAAGGGAAAACTGGCTCTTCTGTGAACTTAGAGAAGGATAAACTCTCCTGTCCCACCCAGCATTTGCTACTAGAAAGACTCCTTTCCTGAAGTTTATCTGACCCGCTGTCTACGCAACCTGTGGAAAGCACGGAGCACCCTAGCAGTCAGTGCCTCCCCCCAGCTCAAGTCTGTTGGATAAACCCTTGGATCAATATTCCAAGCTCCTTGGTAAACTTCAGGCCCTGTCTCCTGCCATCCTCTACCGTGCGACCACTCCAGGCAGTGTGGTCTACTTTCAGGTCCCAAATTACAGCTTGTTTATTTCTGGTTGTTGCATTTCATTTGTCCTCTTGATCTTGCTTCTCCTGACTCCTTCACTTGTCTAAACTACATCTATCATTTACGTTCCACACCAAGATTTCCTCATTTCCAGGAGTCTGTGGGGGAAATTAGCCCCACAGTGCCTGCTAAAGTCCCCGTGACTGGCTCTCCACACTGTTCTTTTCCATGTGCTTTATTTTCCTGGTAAGGCTCCTAGCTTCTTTAGTGTGTCATCGTTCACCCAGCTCGGGGGCTGTCTTGATGGCTAAGGTATGCAAGGTGTTTCGGTTGAATATTTTCATTTCATTCCACTTGGCCTGGTGATGGTTTGGGTGAACATCAGCCCCCACTGGAGATGCTAAATTTCCCCAAAGTATGTCTGATTTATTTCACTCAACATTATGTTTTCTGGTTGCCTCCATTTTTTAACACATGCCTCAAATTTTCATTCTTCGTCGCCGAGTAATATTCCACTGTATGTAGAACCACATTTTGTTTATCCAGTCATCTATTGATGGGTACACAGGCCACTCCAGGATTTAGCTGTTAGGACTTGTGCTGCTATAACCGCGGGTGTGCAAGTATTGCTGTGGCATGATGACTGAAGATCTGTGGAGAAGATGCCTGGCAGGGGGGTAGCCAGGCCATGGGAAATTTGTAATTTCATCCTTTGAGCAATCCCCATCCTGACTTCCACAGAGGCTGTACAGTTTGCACTCCCACCCCCAGTGTGGGAGAGTTCTTTTTTGTCACAACAAGAAAGGGAAGGGGATAAAAAAATAAACAAACATAAACAAAATAAGCTGCAACATCCCAGAGCACAAGATGCCTTTGTTCTTTGTCCCCGTGAGACCACAAAATTCCCAGACATTGTACCAAGGGACAGTCTCACCCTGCTTTTGCACCTCCACTCCGTTTTCTTCACAAGCAGGACCTGACTTCCGCTACATGACTGTCCCTTCCCGTACAGCTGTACTGCGGCGGAAGGCGCTCTTTCTGGGGCAGGGGGAGTCACCGATCCAGGAAATGGGAGCCCACCTAGCAGAGGATGTGTGCTACCTGAAAAGCTCCTGGGAATCTCTGCAGTGTCTGCGGTTTTTTATCCCAGGAAAACGAAAATGCAAGCAGAAAGAAAAATGACAAAATGTTTTCATATTTCCTGCCTCTGTGTGGTGGATGTTTTTATATTACGTTGCCTGTGAAGAATAGAAACTATGTTCACAGCTGCTTGCCCTGTCATCTTCCTTGCAGTTTTAACAAATTTACTAAACAAAATCTGTTCACATGCAGGGTGCTTTACCCAAAGTCTTATCTCTTCCCAGCTTCAATTAGATGAAGCACTTTAATATTTAATACTTTTTTATTGAAGTATAAGTTAATTAAATAATGAGACTGGCTAGGGTGGAGCATTCACACATAATGCTGTTATTAGTTCCCTTTAGGCATTTTTTTAGTATTGTGCCTTGCGATGTTTAGGGATAATAGTGGCCCTCACAGTTTGGAATCTTTTCAGATGTCTCTGAAACTCAGAGTAAACCTACCAGATGCATCTCTTCTCATTTGACATATAGTTTATTCCTTCATGGTGCAAATCATAAATAATACATCCCTTATTTATGGGAGACGAAGTTGCAGGTTGCTGCTTAAAAGACATTCCATTGCTTAAGTAGTGATACGATTTTATTTTATTAAATATTCAGAGCAACTATGGGCAGAAACTATTTTTTATTTTGTTATATTCATATCACATTATAATTTCATAACTCCTCTGTTTTTACCAGAAGTAGAACTGAATTAAAAAATCTGCAAATTAGAAAATATGTGTTTGATCCTGCATACTTCCTTTATTTTCAAAATTCTTTTTACCTATCAGCGATGGGCTATGAAGCAATGTCTTCTACTCTGCATATCTTTTAATCTTAGAGTTTAGAGAATTGTATTTTCTTTTTTTTTTTCTTACTTTTCTAGTTTTTTTTCTAAGGCCTGCTCTTCACAAGGAAGCCAGAAGTGTGACAGAAAGGTGTGATTTTTAATTTACACCAGTGTCTCGCAAATAATGACTTTTCACACAAGGATGTTGCTACTTAGCCTAGGGAGGAGCTCAGTGGCTACTGTCTGTCTTGAAAAATTAAACCCAGGCTGTAATTCAGAAAGGCTTCTTCTACATTTAACCCTTGTTTTCAGTTATCAGTTCAGCGTTTGTGAATACTTAGGAGCCCATGGTTTATTCCTTTGAAAAGTACTTATTTTCTAGGAAATTATTTTTGAAGGCTGATATTGTCAGATGGTCAGGCATGAAAGGTAAACATTTTTCCTCTTCTGTTCTCATCATGAGATGGTAATTGTGACTTCTTTAAATATATAAAAAATAAACATACCAGAATATTTACCTGTAGAGCTTCCAGCAATAAAATTTGAGTACATGATCTAATTAGTATCTTTATCTTATCTTATAATTCCATTTCTGTAAAAGTAGTTTTTCCTGTCTTTACACAATAGTCACTGAATTATTGTACTGATACATTTATTATTTAGATTAAAATTTGAAACTGAAAGTGCTATTAAATGATTAAGATGTTTTAAATTTCTGCCAAGTCCATTAAAAGTCCTTTGGATTAAATTGTAAAAACAGGGAATAAATTGCTCAAGGAAAATAGGAAAAATTATTCAAATTAGTATGCATAATTTAAAATAGAAAAAAATTAAAATTGCAGAATAGCAGCATGCAAAAATAGCTAGAATGTAAAGAAGCAATCTTGCAAACTCCGTATATATTACTTTCATTTGGAAAATTATTAACATGTTTAATTATTTTCCAATCTTGAATCCGCCACACTAAGGTTTTAAAAATACCAGTTTATTCTAGCTACCTTACTAATCCCAATAGTGCTCAACAAAGTTCTAGAACTGAATAGAATACATAAGAATAACATTGGAAGAAAGGACAAACACACTGAGATTCTCCTGGGAAAAGTGGCTCCTACTTCCTCTTCTTGCTGAAGGAATAAGGAGAAATGGTTACAAACTAGCTTGCCTGGCTGGGAGCAGCAAGGGGTTAACCAGTCTTAGTTTACTAGGTATCTCAGTCAGGCTTTTATCTGATCCCTCTCTCCCTTTCTCCCCTGCCCACCCTTTTTGTAAATGTCAACCACTTTCTGATGATTTCACACCTTTCTTTTCTTTGTGAAGAAACCTTGGTGTTAATGGTAAGGGATTGGGTCCCATTGTAGGCTGGGGCTGTGTGTTAATAAAGCTGAGGGATGCCTGTGGGGAAAAGTAGAAGGTGGAGAAATTTGAGAAATGAGGCCAGGCAATAAGTTAAAATCTGTCTTGCTTTTAAAACGAGTCTTTGCTTTCTTAGCAAATTGTAAAAAAATAATAATAATTTTAGAAGAGCTTATTATTGAGAGTCTAAAAGAGTCTACCAGAGAAAGGATCCAACTGTTTAGAAAAATCGAAGAGCGCCAATCAGGCAAAAAACACTGGAGAATCTTTCTCTGGCCTTTCTTTCTACAGGTGTATTATTTATAAGATAAAACAATGGAAACTTGGTCAGTTGATCAGGTCTGCAGTTGGTTGGTGGAGAAAAACTTAGGAGGGCTAGTTTCCAGGTTTCAAGGTGAGTTATTTACACTTTCAAATGATTTCTCTCGAGCAACCCAGATACCCTGAATGCCCTCTGCTGTTGGAGATTGCCTTTGTTCCCCACTGTCTGCACATGTGCGAGTGTAGCTGTGGGGATGCTGCATCAGAGAACTTTTCATGTCTTTATAGACTGTGGCAGTTTCTTCCATTTACTGAGTGCCTTCTCGAGAACGTAATATTTCAAGAACTGTCTGTCTTAGGTGTTTCTTAAAATGCATGTTGGATACATGCACGTTGTGTTCTTTTGCCTCATGTAGTCAGCTGTGTTTTATTTACAGATACTGGATATTGGCGAGGAAGTTTTACTTAGAATAATTTCTCAAGATCTCTTTTTTGCCTTATAAAAATGTTTGTTAGAATGGGAGTGGGTAAGGTCGTGAATGTGAAAAGAAAAAAGTTTTTATTGTGACTTCCTGTCCTCGTTCCTTCTTAGGAGTAAACATCCGGTAGGAAGTAGGCAATATCAAAATGTGGCTAATTTGACAAAAATGTGGCTAATTTTATAACTACAGAGGACAACTTTGGTTGTGCCCGTTTGTAGTATCTGTGTTTTCCTGGGATTCCATAAGGAAATTATTTTCTTCCCAGAGGAAGAAATCAGTGGGGCCGCTCTGCTAGCACTGAATGATCGGATGGTTCAGCAACTGGTGAAGAAAATTGGTCACCAGGCTGTTCTGATGGATTTAATTGAAAAATACAAGCAGAAGAGCCAAGGACTGAGGCCTCCGGGATGCCCTAGAGACGCAGCGCCAGGGACCCAAGCGGAAGCAGCCCCCGAGTGAGTATGCTCTGAGCGCCGGGGTTCGAGTCTCTGCTTTCCCAGGGAGCAGCTCATGCGGGGTTAAAACTCTTTGAAAACCGTAACTATTTCCAGCTGGTTTGTGTGTTCAGTATTTCTAATAATGCTCTTTGCTAAATTTTTTTTTCAGCTTTAATTGAATTTATTGGTACATTTTAGGGATACAGTACAGTTACATTCATTGTTGGGATCTTGTACCTCTACATAACAAGTCTTGATTCTCATTTTTCCTCTTACCCCGGCCCTCCCTTCACCCCCTCCTCCCCTCCCCATCTACAAACACTTTATTTTCATCTTTTCATTATCTGACATTTTTTTCTTTTCCCTTTTTACCCTTCTCCTACCAATCCCACCTTCCCTACACCTTTAGCTCCTTTCTTCCCATTTCTAAATGTCAGTAATCTTATTAGGATCTTCTGTATTATTGCAGTTTATTCACACCAGGGAAACTATTCGGTATTTACACATGTGTGACTTATTTATTTCACTTAGGAGTATATCTTTACTAAATCTTATGCATCAATACGCATCATTTTTGTTCACCTCTCTTGAACATGATGCCAGCCGTTAGGGAAGGACTGAAGGCAGCAGACCCCACCCAGCTCCCGGGGGAACGAGTGGCCTACGCGGATGCGGAGGTGGGAATGAATTCCTGCAGCTGAGGCTCCCACCCCAGCGACTGCAGAAGGCATCTCGGATTTTCCCCAAAACTGTTTCCCTGTGCGTTTACGGTGTACTTCTTTATTTGCTCTGGATTCACTTTGTAGCTAATTTTTACTCCCAAAGGCTTCACAATGCAATTTGCCAGCCACCCTTTGCCAGAGTGAATATTTTAATTCTCAGAATAATAAATGCTGTGATAGCTCCCCACAGGAATCATGTAGAAGAATTTGTGGTGGCCAATAAAAGCCCTGGGACTTGAGGGAAGTTTTGTTTTTGGTTTAGGGTTTTTATCACTGTCTCCTGCAATGATAATAATAAAAAAAAGATATGACTACACGATTTATCAAATTAAAATTTTAATTTTAGAAATTTATATTCCAGATTCTTACAGGTATTTAGATTTGGTGTTTTCATAGACAAGACTTTTTGCGAGATGTGTAAGGTTAGATATTTGCCAATTATTCATTGATTTTAAAAATTAGATGTGAGGGCCAGGATTTAGCTGGGGCAGGGACTTAGCTGAAAGGTTCTAACGCCTGCCTTGCAAGGGCAAGGTCCAGAGTTCAATCCCTGGTACCAAAAACAAAACAAAATAAACAAAAAACATTAGATGTGATGTTTGATGTTACCCTTTCTTTTTTACCTTTTTAAAAATGAAATCTGTAGTAATAAATACTTTTTTCTTACTGGTAAGCAGTATGATGCTAACAGAGACCAAGCATAAGTAATTTGATTTCCAGAATATTTGGTTATTTGGAGCATGGAGAGGTCAGGTAACCTTGGAAGGCTGGTTTCCAGTTGGACTAGAAATTCTCCCAACTGATTTACTTGAATGATTTCTCCCAAACATTGCTTTGGTGCACTTTTGAATATGTGCTTTTTGGTGAAATTCCCATTGCAAGCTCCTAATCCTTTTTAGCAAAAGGGAGGGTGTAAATTTCAAAGAGAGTGTAAAGTAATTTCCGGGCATGTTTGGATGAGTAGAGCTTTAGCTCTGGAAGTTCTCTCAGTTGACTGGAATCTTGATATTGCCTTGGGCACAGCTTAGAAGAAAACAGGCAGCCTTGTTTCCACTGCAGATCAGTTCATAACGTTCTCTAGTAAATGAGAACTGGTTGGATTGCCAGGAAATCTGGGCTTCATTCCTGGTTCTTCCACTCACTGGGATGATTATATTAAACGTTGGCGCTCCTGTTTCTTCTTCGTGAAAAATCACCTAACTCTCGGTTAATTCCCACTGGTGGGAGGAGGATCATAATCTGTGAACAAATCTCTCCTCCCTTTCCCAGACCAGAATAGCCCTTTGTTAAGTATGGACCTTTGTTAATCTGGTTGAGAAAGTTAGTTTCAGAGGTACCCAAGAGAAGGAATATTGTACAGGGATTTATGAGTAGGCTCTTGTTGCCCTACCCGGTAAGCAGCTGGCTAACTTTAAGAATTGCATTGTCTTGATTTTCGGTTAAAGAGTATTCTCATGCAGAGTTACAACTGCATGTGAGAAGAAAATGCTTGTTGGTTATACTCGCTTATTATCCAATATATTTGCCAAACGAACTGTAACTTGACAAATATACTCTGAAGTGAGAATGACATTAGAGAAATATGAAAATATACTACTTCATTAAACTCTTTGTAGAAAGTGCTTAATGTCAGAAACTAAGTTTAAGAAAGAACTGTGAAGTTAGGTATAAAACACTTGATTTCAAACCTCTGTTGTGATATTTGCTAATTCTTTAAATTTGGGCATTTGTTTGATTTTTCCCCAGTTTTAGCTTATTCAACTCTAAAATGAAGTGGGTGGCCCTGAAAGCCTACAATGGCTCTCTTGATCTGAGAGAGATGGTTTCAACTTGAGTGGAAATTCCATTTAGTGGTTAGTGGTTGTTTGGTCTGTTACTGTGCCAAGCATTTGCAGGTCATGTCTGGACAGGCTATCTGACGTCCTATTTAGAGCCTAGCAAATGATAGGTGCTCTGGTGAAGATCTAAAATGTCTCCCAAAACTCATAGGTTCAGAATTAGGGCATTTAGAAGGTGTTTGAATCATGGGGCCACTGCACCTGTAAGTGGATTTATAGCCGAATGTGTGGTTAGAAGGTGGAGCCAGGGTAAAAGAGGTGGGTCCCTGAAAGCACACCCTATAAGAATGGATTCTTGTTTCTGGCTCAGCCCTTCTCTCTGCCTCCTGGCCCCCATGGGTTGATAATCTTATCTCTGCCATTACCTTTTCATCATGCTGTCTCTTACCTTGGAGCCAGAAAACCATGGACTAAACCATATCAAGCCCCGAGCCAAAATAAACTTCTTCTTTAAGTTGCCAGTATTAAGTTCTAACAAAGGAAAAGTAACTAATACGGTAGGGAGTATTGGGATTTTGGCTGTTGTTGAATCTGATAGAAAAATCATTGGACAGGAATTTGGAAAAAAAATTGAATACAAAGCCTGGGAGTACCACCGACTAACCTGGAGTCATGAGCAAGTTGATTTCCTCCTGAATGTTGGCTGCATCACGAAGAAAGTGTTGCAGGTAGTGGAGTAGGTTTCTAGGATGATGACTTATCACAGACAATAAATGTTTTTCCCAAATGCCAAGGAACAGAGGAGAGATCTGACAGGTGTAGCCATTTTATTTTGCTAAATGAAAATATTAACTAAGACTGGCATACTCTGTTATCACTGTCATTTCATAAAGAAAAGTACTGTCTTAACACAACTTAAAAATATAAAATTGGTGTAAGTGATGTGATAACCTGGCATCAGTCTGCTTCCGAGCACACAGGAACCTCATGGTGAGATGGCTGCAGGGGTCCTTCTCTTGTACTTAGTCTTGAGTCCTGCGTGATTTTGGGCGGGTTTCCTCTGCCTTCAGAGGCAGTGTGAGGGCAACGGTTGTGGCTCTAGTCTGACAGGCCCTGAAGCCGCTCTTCCCTTTTGGTAACAGGGTGGAGCAATGCTGCAGTCCAGCCACCCGCGGGGAGCAGGTGCCGCCTTTCTCTCCAGCCGAAAGCCTTGACAGTGGGCAGATTGACCACAGAGTCCTGAAACAGAGGTGAGGTGGCCTCGCTAAGTCATTCGGAGGCCAAATGACAGCACTGTTCGTTATTTTTATGAGATTTCTTGTGATCACATACATTTCTATTTTAGCAGGGAATTTTTATCAAATGAAGATATCTGGTGAAATGTGAAGGTCAAATTTTCTCTGTATCGAAAACGGAAGGTTTTAAAGTGATATTATGTACCTCTTTTGAGTATACTTTCTTAGGAAAACAAAAAATGAATTTCTCCATCGTAAACTTCCTCTGTGATTTACAGTGGCCACAGACAGATGCATTTATTCAGTAAATCACGATCTACAGAAACGTGCCTTTGCTGAGCCTTGCTTTGCATTCTGCGTTTTTAACCAGTTGCTTTAAGGTAGCGCTTCTTGACAGAGGTGCTGTTTTGGTAAGGAGTTCCTTCATGTTCCTACCCTGGGTTTTACATGTAATAGTTTGGTGTACAGATTGCACTGGAACAAAGGAACTGTAGACCCCAAGAACCCCATGTAGGAATGTGGTGTTCAGACAAAGTCACTGGCGTGATAGCTCAGAAGAGGGGCCTCAGTAGCCTTCAAAACCTTCTCAGTCACCTGGTCCAGGCAGTCCATGCATCTGTGTCTGACGCATGGTGTCTCAAGTTGCTAAGAACAAGTGCATTTCCCTATGTGCGTAACCACTGAAAAAGAGACTGTCCTCCTGGGCAGCAGCCACGAAAGGGCATGGTCCTTGACAGTTTTTATACCCTTTACTCTGTCACTTTATTTAGTGTTCACATTAGTCATTCAAGGGAAGCATTAGTCTCTCTGCTTGGTAAACAAATCAAACACAGAATTAAAGAAGTCTGGGGTTTCTAGCTAGTTTTCCCAAATGCGATCTCCCAGAATGAGGGCTCGGCATCCTTCATCCACAACTCCTATTTGGGATGGTGATTGAGAGGGTGGAAGAGGACTTTCTAGGTGGGCAGTCAGACCCTTGGCCCGAACTATGATTCAGAAAGTGTAAAACATGTTTTAATTCTCTCCTCTCTGCGCATGGGTGTGCATTCATTCCTAGAATTTGCCTTCGCTCGCGCCAGGTGTGTGGAGTAGGCCTAAAGTTTTCAGCTACGCCTTCCAACATGAAGCTGCTCACACAGTCATCTCTTCGGTCACTACCGAAGTGAGTGAAGACAAAATGGTGATTAGGCCCCAGTGCCACCCTCCCTGGTACCTGTCTCTGGTCCTTCTCTGCAAAATGGGAGCAATAGCCCTTTCTCATGGTGCTTCTGTGAGCCCTGAAATAGACAGCCTAGTGCTCAGCAGAGAACAAGCCCAGAGAAGCTGTTCAGGTGAGGTTCTGACCCTCCTTAGGGGTTGTTTACCTGACTACAGAGATCCTCCCAGCCAGCTGACTAAGTCTTTTGAGTTTTGAGTTCAAGTGTCTGGGGAAGAAAAACTGACAGCCCAGTGTGGACAAGACCGCCCCCCCCGCCGCCAAGCTCTGGACTCTAACAGAAGAGGTGGACCCGGTCGGACAGGGGCAGGGTGCTGGATTTAATGAGCTTCCCTCTGATCAGGCCCTTTATCCAGAGTTATGGCAGAAATTCTAGCCCCACCATGCAGCCAGGTCAGACAGACTCGGGGGAGCCACCCTTGACCTTGTTCTTCTGCTCCTCACAGTGCTGGCAGCGTGCTGCAGCCAGCTGTTTGTTGGCATTGAATGCTCTGAAGGGTTCGCCATCACTGACCTAGGGCTGCCTTCATTTGGCAGCTGTTGGAGAGGGAACTCTTGCATGACTGTGGTATCAGGCTCTGTTCTTCACCTACCTGAGACCTGCTTATCCTTCAGGACCGCTCGAGCAAACCCCGGGAAAAGAGATCTACGTATCTCTTGCTTGGATCATAAAAGTAGGTAATGAGAGGTGGGTGGGTTGGTTGCTTGCCTGTGATCCCTTCACTCTGGAAGGTTGAGGCAGGAGGATCACAAGTTTCAGCCCAGAATGGGCAATCTAGTGATTTAGCAATCCCCTGAAAAATATACTGGAGATGTGAAAGTGTCGGGGTACAATTCACAGCGTGCCCCGCCCCCGTGAAAAATGCAGGTAATGAAACTGACCACTTCCGAGTTCATTATCCCTCCTTAGATGGTCAGCACCATAAGGACGAAGACAAGGACCATGCCCTCTTCCTAAGGTGAACTCAAGATTTTTTCAGCCTCTGGCACTTAGAGGCTCAATTGGACTTTTAAATTGAACTAAAGAGGTGTGAGCTGAAAGAGGACTGAATGTACTTTCATAGTATGGGATAAATATTTGAATAGCATCAATATCTTTTGGACCTTTTGATACAGTCCACACTACATGTGCTAAATTTTTAACCTGAGGGATTTTTAAGCCATTCACCCATAACAAGCTACAAAGCTCAAGATGTTTGGCCACGGAGGTTTCATGAAGCCAACTGTTCCCAGCAGGCAGGAAGGGCTGGCTTTGGGGTTGCTCGTACTGAGCCCAGTCCCTGACTCCTCCGCTTCTCCTCCAAGGTCCGTGCACCCACGGGGTGGCTCACCCACCTTGACTGTTGTAGTCCCTGAGGTCCACATGAGATGCCACAGAAGCACCTGGCCACTATCACCACAGCACAGTGCGTGGCAGTTACTATTCACGTGGCACTTTTCTCCACGTTCCCTAAAAGCAACATATGCTTTCTGTCCACATGATTTGCAGCTGAAATGTGAAAGAAGGCTCTGACTGCTTTAAAGGCTGGAAACTGGCTTACTTTTCTCCCATGAAGAGGTGATTCTGTGCTCTCTACTGAATGGTTTAAATCCTCTTTCTGGGTGCAAGGATAATTATGTCCCATTCTAGTCATGCTTTGGAAATAGCTTTTCCTGCAGGGGTATTCTTTGTTTTAACTGTACCCTATTCGAAACCATTCAATTCTCTTTTAGTACTGAGTAAGACATAAGCTCAGATAAACGGGTAGAGGTCTCCTCCACATTGAACATACTTCACTTGAGCTTTAAGTACATGTGTGCAGATGGTTTGCTTCTGCTTCAGGGCATGATTATAAATTAGTTGTGGTTTCCTGCACGTTTAAAATTTGTTCGAATGATTTTTTTTCTTAGCGTGGCTTCTGCTATGAGATTATGTAGAATGAACATACCCTGTTGCCTGTGCTTGGAAGGGCAAATCTCAGTGGTTCTTCGGTACTCTTGATGCTTTATAGTCAGTCTCTTTCCCACAGGTGGAAACACGGGGAGACACAGTGGTGCGGGTGCGCTGTGCCAGTGCGTAATAAAGGAAGCGCTCAGCGAAGCCCACCTGCCGAGCTATAGGTCTCAGTACCAGTTCCGATTAGATGTGTGCTTAGGCTTTTCAACTCCTATACTTTTCGATGCTCAGCGTTTTGGGAGGTGAGGGTGAGGGTTACTCACCTTTGCAGGGTCTGACACAGGATAGGTGATCAACAGGGTTTGCTACACGAAGGAACAGCGATGCCAATTAAACATTTTCTGTGGTCCCACTGTGCTTGAGTCAAATCTGTGTGACAACGGTGGAGGGTGAAAGAGACCACCTGCCACACCCGGTGGTAAAGTCACAGTCACGTAGTCATTGTGGGCGGGAGAGAGGCAAACACAGGGATTAGACTAGGATGCCAGCCCTGCTGATGGCCAGGACTGGGCAGTTTGGAGAAGAATAAGATAGGAGTTCAGAGTTTAATTCTAGTTCTGTTCTGTATCAGCTGAGTAAACTTGGGCACTTGAGACACTTTCCAACCTTAGTGGGTTTCATTTTTCTCATCTGTAAGCTGAAATGAAGAATGGGTTAATATATAGAAAACTTACAGGTTTGGGAACCTTGGAGGAGCTCATAAATTTTAGATATTTGTATCATCTGGCCAGTCACCAAAGCACAGGGTCCAGTGAGACTCAGATAGCTCTGGTCTGCACTCTAACAGGTGGTCCAGAGTTTAAGAGCAGCCAGCGGTGCCTGGAAGCCTCGAGAGGAGATGCTTTGGTCCTCCCACAGACTGGGTAGTCGCCATGGGAAACAAACCAGGCACAAGTCCTAGGAACCACTGTGTGCAATGAGATGGGGAGGGGCCTTCAAGAACACGCACCCGATAAGTGATGCGTTTTCACATTGAGTTAGCAAATCCCAGGCCAGAGGGTTAGGATGAGAGAGTGAACTTGAGACCCCATGATTTCCTGCCATGTGGTATGGAGAAACTCACATCTAGAGGTCCTGAGTGTGGGATGCATCACCTGGAACTCGATGCCTTCAATGCATAGTAAAGGCTGAGAGCAGTCCTACAGTAAGACATCCCATTCACCAGTTCAACCCAGAGCACATTCTGTGGGCAACACAGAAAATACCTTAGAGAACATTGACTTGAAGAATTCTGGCCAAGATCAGGTTTCAGCCATTCGCTCACTGTATGAAGATTTACTGAGCACTGTAGTGATACTGAGAGGAGAGCAGGGCGCAGTGCAGACTGCGTTTGAAGTCCTCCCTCCCTCCCTCCCAGCGCTCATGTTCTGAGGACAGAGAAGACCGCAAACAAAGACAACGTCTCATTATGGACATCTTCAAATGCCGTGACGACCCCTGATAGGAAGAGGAGGCGGAGACAGAGAGCTGGTGGTGTGTGTGTGTGTGTGTGTGTGCGTGTGTGTGTGTGTGTCGAAGGACAGGAGGGTTCTACTGCAGCAGGGGTTTTAGGGAAGCCCGTCAACTTTGATTCACTGACATCTGCTCAGAGAACAAACAAAGCGAGGGAGCTAGCACCAAACTTTCTTTCCATAGAGAACATCCGTAGACCCAGCCAAACAGCAATTGCAGTTAGAGGAAACTGGGCTGACATGACTGAAAAATGGCACTGACTCTTGGCCATTCCAATTCAATTTCCTATGAAGTTTTCAGAGAGAGCCAAAGTAAGCCTGATTTGTAATCTCCCTGTGTTCAGTCCACAGCTTGCTGACATGTGCCATGAGTTAGGTATCACTCAGAGGGCACGGGCACCATGTGGTCCTC